GCAACCCATACATGCACACCTTCAAGAGTCGCCACTTTACTCGCCGCCTCACAACCTGAAACCCACACATGAATGCAACCACCCCCGCTTTTCTTGCCCCCTCACTCCATGCAAACCAAGCACGAACGCATGCAAGCACTCCCACAATACTTGACCCCTTGCCCCGTGCAACCTGCATACGCATGCACGCATTCCCACTTCACGCGCTCCCTCGCCCCGTGCAACCCACACATGCACGAATGCCAGCCCTCCCACTTAACTCGCCCCATCGCCCCTTCAAGCCCCCACACACATGCAATCACCCCCGCTTTACTCGCCCCTTTTACCCCATGTAACCCAAGCACGAATGCATGCACGCACTCCCACAGTACTCGCCCCCTCGCCCCATGCAACACAGACCCGCACGCATGCAAGCACTCCCACTTTACACGTACCCTCACCCCGTGTAGCCTCCACATGCATGCTAGCACCCCCGCTTTACACGCCCCATGCAAACAACGCACGCACGGATGCATGCAAGCATCTCCCGGCCCGTTGTCTAATAGCCGACTGGTGTACAGCAGGCGGTTCAAACCGACCAGTAGCTGTCTCACTACGATTGGTGGACAGCGAGATAAACACGATAAACAATCATGTTTAGCACAATGTGCCTTCCTCTAACAGATGTTGTTTGGTTGATGCCAGATTTAGGTTACAAATCAATGTGGGCTCAAACAAGGCTGCGTACTTTGCCCTCTGATGCTAAGGTACCCAGCATGACTCGGTGATTTAGTGACTTTTCACTCAATGCATTGCTGCCAATATCAATCTGCCTCAAGGCCACTCAATCCACCTCAAACTGCATCAAACGGTTGTGAGCAAACTAAATCAAAACGGCTTCTGGGAGTGCTACTCACCCCATCGCCCCATCCAACTCAGACCCGCACGCATGGAAGCACATTACACGACCCCTCGTTCCGTGCCGCCCACACATACACACGTGTACCCCCACTTTACTCGGCCCCTCGCCCACAGTAGGCCCTACACGCACGCATGCAAGCGCCCCCACTTTACTCGCCGCCTCGCCACCTTCAACCCACACAAACATGCACTCACTCCAGCTTCAAGCGCCCCTCACCCCATGCAACCCACACACTCACGCCTACAAGCGCCCCCACATCACTCGCCAACTCGCCACATGCAACCCACACACGCATGCAGGCAACCCCGCTTTACTTGCCCCCTCACCCGTTGTAGCCCCCGCGCGCATGCAAGCACCCCCGCTTTACTTGCCCCGCAAATTGTGCAAGCTCTACACACACCCTCGCGTCATGCATGAGCACACAGCCCGGGACATGTGCAAAGGAAAGCAAAAAAGGGACGACACCATCCTAAACCCAAACCCCACCCAAACTCTACACCACGCCCCACACAAGTTGCGACGGCCCCCCCCAGGCGTGCCCCGCCATGTCTGTCTGTCTGTCTGTCTGTCTGTTCACAAAAGTGGTGGCAACGACCTCCAGGCGCTAAGCGTTCAGTCCTATCCTCAGCCAGCCAGAGGTCTCCAGTTCGAGCCGGGTAGCGACCTCTTGGCGACTTCCTTGGCACCCTTGGAGATGATGCCTGGGCCTATGGGGATGGTGTTCTGGGAGATCTCGAGTACGACAACACAACACACTGTACGGCAGCAAACTGTACGGCACAGTTGCCATGCTGTGTGGTGACACATCATGTGGTGTACGACATGTACGACTATGTACGACAGCTGTACGGAAGTGTACGACAGCGTACGACAACTGTCGTACGCTTGTACGGCATCTGTACGGCATGGGTTTCGACACGCGCTCCCACCCCCCTCCATGCTCCCCGCTCCCCTCACCACCCCCTCTTCACTCTTGCTCCTCTGACCGCCCCTGAATCACCATGAGGTGTACGGCAACGCAGTACGGCATGGGTTTCGACACGCCCTCCTACCCCCCTCCGTGCTCCTTACTCCCCTCACCGCCCCCTCATCACCCATCATGCCTGGCATCATCAGGATGGTGTCCTGAGGTGTGGTGCCGTACAGCAACGCAGTACGACATTGGTTTTGACATGCTCTTCCACCTCCCTCCATGCTCCCCACTCCATCTCTTTGTTGCAATGTCTTGCATTATGATGTCGACTAAGCTATAACTGAGTTAATGAGCCATTCGCAGTTTCTTGGTTACTTTCCAAAATCAGCGTCAAACTGTTTGGTGACCGTGACCACCCCCCTCCATGCTCCCCACTCCATCCCCTCACCACCCCCTCGTCGCTCTGGCTCCTTTGATCACCCCTGTCGTACAGCGACACGGTACGGCATGGCTTCGGGCACCACATATCACCAATCTTCTTGTTGCAATATCTTGCATTGTGATGTCGACTAAGCTATAACTAAGTTAATGAGCCATTCGCAGTTTCTTGGTTACTTTCCAAAATCAGCGTAAAACTGTTTGGTGACCGTGACCACCCCCCCTCCATACTCCCCACTCCACTCACCACCCCTTCCTCGCTCCAGCTCCTCTGAACACCCCTGTCGTACAGTGACACGGTACGGCATGGGTTCGGGCACCGTGTGTCGCCGGTCTCATTGTTGTGATGTCTTGCATTGTAATGTCGATTAAGCTATAACTGATTTAATGAGCCATTCGCAGTTTCTTGGTTACTTTCAGAAATCGGCGTAAAACTGTTTCGGCGACGGATATGGCTTCGGCAAAAGTAAATCGGCGCAAGTTGCAAGCTGGTTTCGGCAAGAAGCGTGGTTGTGAAGTCGGCGCGTCTCCTGAAAAGCGCCGATTACTGATCGCCGAAAACTATGGTTGATCGGCGATCGCTGATCGGCGAATGCTGTCAGGGGTGGTCGCCGTGAAAGCTTCTTAGATTTCGGCGCAATTAGCCTGGCATCGGCAAAAGTCTTTCGGCGCAATTTGCAAGCTGATTTCGGCGACAAGCACGTTCGTTAAGTCGGCGCATTTCCTGAAAAGCGCCGATTACTGATAGCCGAAAACTATGGTTGATTCGGCGATCACTGACCTGCGGGTCAGGTAAGCGACCCGCGGGTCTATCATGTCATGACTTGGCGTGAACGTTCTCCTTTCTGAAACGTATGGACCGGTCGCCTGGGACTGCTCGGACATGTACGGCCAAGCCTGCCCGGCGAGCAAATTCAGCTTGCACTTCGGGCGGTCGTTTCTTGGTCTGTAGGCTGTCTTTGGCAGCATAGTATATTGGAGTATCAAAACATTAGATCATCAGTATCATTTCGTAAGCAATTCATTGGCGATCACTGATCGGCAAATGCTGTCAAGGGTGGTGGCCGTGAAAGCTTCTTAGGTTTCGGAGACGGACACGGCATCAGCAAAAGTCTTTCGGCGCAATTTGCAAGCTGGTTTCAGCGAGAAGCGTAGTCGTGAAGTCGGTGCGTCTGCTGAAAAGCGCCGATTACTGATCGCCGAAATCAATGGTTCATCGGCGATCACTGATCGGCGAATGCTGTCAGGAGTGGTCGCCGTGAAAGCTTCTTAGGTTTCGGCGACGGACACGGCATCGGCAAAAGCCTTTCGGTGCAATTTGCAATGCTGTCTTTTTAGGTTTCGTCCCCCGTAACGAAGTGGAGCCACATCCCACCGACTTCCTTGCGCCGCTCATCTGCACTGTGATGTCGACTAAACTATAACTGAGTTAATGAGCCATTCGCAGTTTCTTGGTTACTTTACGTAAGAAAGTAATCCTGCCCTTCAGCGAGAGGCGACCTATGCCCCGCGACAGATGCCTTACAACCAATGCTTACAAACAAAACTGGCACGCCAATGTTGGGTCCGCCGACCCCGCCTGTCAGCGAGTGTAGCAAGCTCACAACATTGGTCATTGCACTGACATCAGGTCCACCGACCCTGATCGTCGGCGAGAGGCGACCTATGCCTTACCACAAATGGCTTACGACTAATGCTTTCGAACATGAGCCGCACGCTGACATCAGGTCCGCCGACCATGCTTGTCTGCGACATGAGCAAGCTCACAACACTGGTCGGTGCGCCAACGTTAGGTCCGCCCACCATGCTCGTCGGCAAGAGGAGCAAGCTCGCAGCACTGGTCGGTACGCTGACTTCAGGTCTGCTGACCATGCTCGTACGACCAATGTTTTTTGTTAATGAACATGACTGGTATGCCAACGTCAGCTTCGCCCGCGGTGTGCTCGTCAGTCAGCGACATGATGAGCAAGCTCGCAACACTTGACAGCTCACCGACGTCAGGTACGCAATGTGTGTGCCAAAATCATGCCGGCGCGCATCACCAATCAGGATTTACGGTACCCCCGGCCGCGGCGACCACGACGCGGCGCTATCGGTCGAAATTTTGTCCGTCCGTCTGTCTGTCTGTGCGTCCGCAGAAGTGGTGGCAAGGTCCTTGGGGCGCTAAGCGTTCAGTCCTGTGCCCAGCCAGCCAGAGGTCTCCGGTTCGAGCCAGGTAGCGACCTCTTGGCGACTTCCTGGGCACCCTTGGAGATGATGCCTGGGCCTGTGGGGATGGTGTTGTGAGAGATCTCGAGTACGACAACACACTGTACGGCAGCAGACTGTACGGCAATTGTGCCGTACTGTGTGGCAAGATGTCATGTTTATGACATGTACGACAACTGTACGGCAGCGTACGACAGCTGTCGTACACTTGTACGGCATCTGTACGGCATGTGTTTTGACACGGCCTCCCACCCCCCTCCTCCCCCTCTTCTCCCCTCGTCGCCTATACGTCACCCCGACCCTCCTTGTGACTCCTGGCACCAATCCCCCCCTCGCCACAACAACTGGCAGTACAGTACGGCTTGGGTTTCGACACGCTCTCCCACCTCCCTTCTCCCCCTCTTCTCCCCTCGTCGCCTACACGTCACCCCAACCCTCCTTGTGATTCCTAGCACCATCCCCCCCTCGCCACAACAACTGGCAGTACAGTACAGCTTGGGTTTTGACACGCTCTGCCACCCCCCCTCCATGCTCCCCATTCCCCTCGCCACCCCCTCATCACTCCAGCTCCTCTGGCCATCCCTGCATCAATCCTGTACATCACCATTAGGTATGTTGTCGTACGTACATGCCATAGGACTATACACCGAGTGGACGTCAGTGTGTAAACGCCATAGGACAATGCGTACACGCCATAGGACAATGCGTACACGCCATAGGACAATGCGTACACGCCATAGGACAATGCGTACACGCCATAGGACAATGCGTACACGCCATAGGACAATGCGTACACAGCTATAGGGGGTGGACGCCTTTCACTGAGCGATGCTGATAAAACGTAAATGACAACGCGTAAACGACATTGTGTAAATGCCATATGACGTACAGTACGGCATGGTGTGACGCCAAAAAAAACGCCATAGTACAATACGTACATGCCATAGGACAATACGTACACGTCGTAGGACAATGCGTAAATGTCATAAGACAATGCGTATAAGACAATGCGTAAACGACAGTGTGTAAACAACACCGCGTGAACGTTAGGTTGTAAACGCCATAGGACAATGCGTACACGCCATAGGACAATGCGTACACGCCATAGGACAATGCGTACACGCCATAGGACAATGCGTACACGCCATAGGACAATGCGTACACGCCATAGGACAATGCGTACACGCCATAGGACAATGCGTAAATGTCATAAGACAATGCGTATAAGACAATGCGTAAACGACAGTGTGTAAACGACACCGCATGGACGTTAGGTTGTAAACGCCATAGGACAATGCGTACACGCCATAGGACAATGCGTACACGCCATAGGACAATGCGTACACGCCATAGGACAATGCGTACACGCAATATAACAATGCGTACACAGCTATAGGGGGTGGACGCCTTTCACTGAGCGATGCTGATAAAACGTAAATGACAACGCGTAAACGACATTGTGTAAATGCCATATGACGTACAGTACGGCATGGTGTGACGCCAAAAAAAACGCCATAGTACAATACGTACATGCCATAGGACTATACGTACACGTCGTAGGACAATGCGTAAATGTCATAAGACAATGCGTATAAGACAATGCGTAAACGACAGTGTGTAAACGACACCGCGTGAACGTTAGGTTGTAAACGCCATAGGACAATGCGTACACGCCATAGGACAATGCGTACACGCCATATAACAATGCGTAGGGCAACTATGCATATGGCGAGAAGGCGTAGGGCGACGATGCGTTGGGCAACGATGCGTAGAGCGACGATCCGTAGGGCCAACAATGCGTAAGAACAATGCGTAGGTAAACACTACACGGTTGTCTGTCTGCGGTATGTAATCTTTTCTGGTGCGATGTTACCAAGATAGGGGTGGCATGAAAGAGTGCTTAGGGAACAACATGCATCGAGGAGAGGCTGAAAGGACTGTAGGCTGTTGTGCAACTGTCTGCATATCTTGATGAGGGCGGGCTAGGGAGGAGGCAAGTGTGCAGGAAGGTAGTGTTGGGGCTGGCAGGAACGGATGCAGTGCCGACCCATACAACAAACAGCTGTCTGCATATGTGTCTTACCTTCATGCGGGGGCTGCTAGCGGGCTAGCGGCCAAATGCTCCTTGTCCCCGCCCTCCGATGCTTCCTACAGCACGAGGGGAGGCCTGCATGCGTCAAAGGGAGGAAGGGAAAAGCGCGGGGGAACGAGAAGGAGAGCAATCCGCGGCGGGGGTGGCGGCAGGGAAGGACGCGCTAAGCAAGGAGAGGGTAGACTTGCAGCGGGGACAGCACGTGCGCATGCAATGTTGTGGGTAAGAGGGAGGGCTAGGGAGGAGGCAAGTGTGCAGCAGGATTGGGCCATGGGTGAAGCAGGAAGGGTTGGGGCTGGCAGGAAGGGATGCAGCGCCGACCTATACAACAAACAGCTGTTCGCATATGTGTCTTACCTTCATGCGGGGGCTGCTAGCGGGCTAGCGGCCAAATGCTCCTTGTCTCCGCCCTCCGATGCTTCCTATAGCACGAGGGGAGGCCTGCATGCGTCAAAGGGAGGAAGGAAAAAGCGCGGGGGAACGAGAAGGACAGCAATCTGCAGCGGGGGTGGCGGCAGGGAAGGACGCGCTAAGCAAGGAGAGGGTAGACTTGCAGCGGGGACAGCACATGCGCATGCAATGCTGCGGGTAAGAGGGCGGGCTAGCGCGGGCCATGGGGGAAGCAGGAAGGGTTGGGGCTGGCAGGAACGGATGCAGTGCCGAACTAAACAACGAACAGCTGTCTGCACATGTTGTCTTACCTCCATGCGGGGGCTGCTAGCGGGCTAGTGGCCAAACGCTCCTTGTCCCCGCCCTCCGCTTCCTACAACACGAGGGGAGGCCTGCATGCGTCAAAGGGAGTAAGGGAAAGGCGCGGGGGAAGGAGAAGGAGAGCAATCCGTGGCGGGGGTGGCGGCAGGGAAGGACGCGCTAAATTAAAAGAGGGTAGACTTGCAGCGGGGACAGCACATGCGCATGCAATGCTGCGGGTAAGAGGGCGGGCTAGGGAGGATGCAAGTGTGCAGTGGGATTGGGCCATGGGGGAAGCAGGAAGGGTTGGGGCTGGCAGGAACGGATGCAGCGCCGAACTACGCAACGAAGACCTGTCTGCACATGTTGTCTTACCTCCATGCGGGGGCTGCTAGCGGGCTAGTGGCCAAGTGCTCCTTGTCCCCGCCCTCCGATGCTTCCTACAGCACGAGGGGAGGCCTGCATGCGTCAAAGGGAGTAAGGGAAAGGCGCGGGGGAAGGAGAAGGAGAGCAATCCGCGGCGGGGGTGGCGGCAGGGAAGGACGTGCTAAGCAAGGAGAGGGCAGGCTCGCAGCGGGGACAGCACGCGCGCATGCAGTACTGCTGGTAAGAGGGCGGGCTAGAGAGGAGGCAAGTGCGCAGCAGGATTGAGCCATGGGGGCAGCAGGAAGGGTTGGGGCCGGCACAAACGGATGCAGCGCCGACATACACAACAAACAGCTGTCTGCGAAGTTGTCTTACCTCCATGCGGGGGCTGCTAGCGGGCTAGTGGCCAAATGCTCCTTGTCCCCGCCCTCCGAAGCTTCCTACAACAAGAGGGGAGGCCTGCATGCGTCAAAGGGAGGAAGGGAAAAGCGCGGGGGAACGAGAAGGAGAGCAATCCGCGGCGGGGGTGGCGGCAGGGAAGGACGCGCTAAGCAAGTAGAGGGCGGACTTGCAGCGGGGTCAGCACGTGCGCATGCAATGCCGCGGGTAAGAGGGCGGGTTAGGGAGGAGGCAAGTGTGCAGCAGGATTGGGCCATGGGTGAAGCAGGAAGGGTTGGGGCTGGCAGGAAGGGATGCAGCGCCGACCTATACAACAAACAGCTGTTCGCATATGTGTCTTACCTCCATGCGGGGGCTGCTAGCGGGCTAGCGGCCAAATGCTCCTTGTCTCCGCCCTCCGATGCTTCCTACAGCACGAGGGGAGGCATGCATGCGTCAAAGGGAGGAAGGGAAAAGCGCGGGGGAAGGAGAAGGAGAGCAATCCGCGGCGGGGGTGGCGGCAGGGAAGGACGAGCTAAGCAAGGAGAGGGCAGGCTCACAGCGGAGACAGCATGCGTGCATGCAATCGTGGTGAGGAAAGGAGAAGGAGAGCAATCTAATGGGGTGGTGGCGGGCAGAGATAAGGAAGGCATATGGCAAAGACGGCATATGCACCTGCACTGCAGGTACGAAAGTGTATTGGGAGGAGGGGGGGGCAGTGCCGTCCAGAAGGAGGGCCAGCAAAGAAACACTTACAAGACCCGGTTCTTGCTCAGGGCAGTTACCCTGCTGCTACCCAACACATAGGCACCCAAGCCGCTGCCGCCTGAGACAGACGTCTGCACCGCTGCCACCTGAGCAGCTGCCGCACGAGCTGCTATCCCCAGAGCTGCTACCGCCTGATTCGTTGCCACCTGAGCTGCTACTTGCTTCTAGCTTACCTGTGATGGCGAAGGAAGACATCAGTCGCTTGGGCACAAAAGGTCGCCATTGTCATAAGAATGGACACATCTTCACCACCTGTCCCAAGCTACATGTCCAGGGCTTGTGCATACATTGTCCGGCCGTCATCGCACAGGTGCATTAGGGCCTAAGCTTTGGCTATCAAGTGCAGGTGCCAGAGCAAACTAGCTGCCGAGTATTCTCCATAAGGCTCCACGCGCAATGCACAGTCACTATTGCTAATACGGTCGCTGCTCCTGGATGCCAGAATGCCAATGCTAGGTCAGCACCAAGAAATGTATGTTTGCAGGTGGAATGGCTTTTGTAATGTCTTTTGCATTTGGTACAAGACACAGAGCCGTCGCTGTGTAACAAGACAGCCAATATTGTGTAACCGCGACCAGTTTGCTTAAAGGAAGAGCATCCATTGTCCCCTAAGACAGTGTAAGGTTATGCAGTATCCTAAAGATAGCAAGGCTGTTTGGATTTCCGGCTAGTTGTCTACTAGGATCCCAAAAGACGACTTCACACGTCGTCTTTAAGTACGGCACTATACTTCTTGTCCTTATACAAAAGCTCGTCATCTACCTGACAAAACAGCAAGACATTATGTGCTGCCCGTTATGTTTATGCTTCGACCCAATGGTTAGCCGACCAAACAGGGCACCACCACACTGCAATGCCGACGCTGTTACTGCTTCACACTACCGCATAAATCTTCCGCACATATAAATACGGCGAATGACAACGGGTGCCTGGGGATGCCGGGCTTAACTAGTGCAAGGGTAGTAGGAGAAGGATGTCGCGCCTCGCTTTTCCACAGCTTTGAAAGGTAACAGAAAATAAAACTCGCAGGAGTATCAAAGCTGGTTGTGCTGTTGGCATAACTCGGCAAACAATGCCCTTCAAAAAGACGACGTCTGACGTCACTTTTCAAGTACGGCATTCACATGACTTGCCCTTATACTCCAGCGACAGTGTTGGGTCGCCGACAGAAGATAACGGTACGTACTCACATTCACGCCATTGCTTGGGTACAGACAGTTGAACTGCAAACCAAAACTTAATACACCGCAATGCGAAAGGTACTTTCGACAACCACTACACCCACATACAAACCAAGGCGTTCTACATAGGATTTACAAAGTCTAATGGTATATATATTGAATTAAAGGGGCTGCTTGCAGTCCAGCAATGACAACGGTGTCTTACACTGACTGGCATGCGTGTCGCAAAAGACCAGAATACGTTATCGAATTTTAATTGTCGTATACCTTGCTATGTGGCGCCGAAGTAACGTAGGAGGCCCACGCCAAAGAGCACCACAGGCGAGTGCAATTCAGCCCCACTCCCAGGGATGGAGTCACCTGCCCGACTTGCACACGGATAAAAGTACGTCCAGCCACTTTAAGGAAATACATTAGCATTAATACCCTGTCGGAAGCCAGTTGGCTGTATAAGGTGGACGAGACCGAGTGGGAGGCGCTGTTTGAAACAGGCTGGGTCAAATGACACATCCCCTCGTCCCATTTCACCAAGACACACATATATGTACCCACGCTGTACTCGGCCCCTTGCCCCGTGCAACCCAGGCAGGAACGCATGCCGGCCCTCCAACAGTACTCACCCCCTTGCCCCGTGCAACCTGCATACGCATGCACGCAATCCTGCTTCACACGCCCCATCGCCCCCTGCAACTCAGACACGCATGCATGCAAGCACTCCCACATTAGTCGCCCCATCGCCCCAAGCAACTCAGACACGCATGCATGCAAGCACTCCCACATTACTCGCTCCGTCGCCCCATGCACCTCAGACACGCATGCATGCAAGCACTCCCTCATTCCTCAACCCATCGCCCCATGCTACTCAGACCCGCACGCATGCAAGCACTCCCACATTACACGTCCCCTCGCTCCTTGTAGCCCCCACACGCATGCAAGGCACCCCCGCTTTACTCGCCTATTCGCCCCATGCAACCCACGCATGCGTGCATGCCAGCACTCTCACAGTACTCGCCCCCTCGTCCCGTGCAACCCACACACACGTGCACGCACCCCCGCTTCAAGCGCCCCCTCGAACTCAGACACACATGCATGCAAGCACTCCAACATTACTCGCCCCATCGCCCCATGCTACTCAGACCCGCACGCATGCAAGCACTCCCACATTACACGTCCCCTCGCTCCTTGTAGCCCCCACACGCATGCAAGCACCCCCGCTACTCGCACCCTCACTCCAAGCAACCCACGCACGCGCACATGCAAGCACTTCCACCATACTCACCCCCTTGCCCCGTGCAGCCTGCTCACCACACATGCACGCATTCCCACTTCACGCCCCCTCGCCCCATGCAACCCACACACGCACGCATGCAAGCATCCCAACTTTACTCGCCACATTGACCCATGCAACTCAGACACGCATGCATGCAAGCACTACCACATTCATGTCCAATTGTCCCATTTAGCCCACACAAACATATGTGTACCCCCGCTTTACTCGGCCCCATCGCCCCTTGTAGCCCCCACACACATGCATGCACTCCCGCTTCCCACGCCCCCTCGCCACCTGCAACCCACACACGCACGCATGCAAGCGCCCCCACTTTGATCGCCGCCTCGTTCCGTGCAACCCACACACGCATGCAAGCACCCCCGCTGTATTTGCCCCCTCACTCCATGCACTCCAGGCAGGAACGCATGCAATCCTGCTTCAAGCGCCCCCTCGCCCCATGCAACTCAGACACGCATGCATGCAAGCACTCCCACATTACTCGCCCCATCGCCCCAAGCAACTCAGACCCGCATGCATGCAAGCACTCCCTCATTCCTCAACCCATCGCCCCATGCTACTCAGACCCGCACGCATGCAAGCACTCCCACATTACACGTCCCCTCGCTCCTTGTAGCCCCCACACGCCTGCCTGCAAGCACCCTCACTTTACTCGCCTACTCACCCCATGCAACCCACGCATGCGCGCATGCCAGCACTCTCACAGTACTCGCCCCCTCGTCCCGTGCAACCCACACACGCATGCACACACCCCCGCTAGAAGCGCCCCCTCGCCCCATGCAACTCAGACACGCATGCATGCAAGCACTCCCACATTACTCGCTCCATCGCGCATCGTTCAGACACGCATGCATGCAAGCACTCCCTCATTCCTCAACCCATCGCCCCATGCTACTCAGACCCGCACGCATGCAAGCACTCCCACACTACTCGCCCCCTTGCCCCGTGTAGCCTGCACACGCACGCCCCCTCTTCCTGTGCGGCCCACACACGCATGCACGCACTCCCGCTTCAAGCGGCCATTCGGCCCATGCAACCCACACACGCACGCATGCAAGCGCTCCCACACTACTCGCCCCCTTGCCCCGTGTAGCCTGCACACGCATGCGCGCACGCCCACTTCACGCGCCCCCTCGCCCCATGCAAACCACACACGAACGCATGCAAGCCAGCACTCCCACAGTACTCGCCCCCACGTCCGGTGCAACCCACACACGCTCAACATTCCCGCTTCAAGCGCCCCCTCGCCACATGCAACCCACGCACGCAAGCATGTAAGCCGAACGCATGAGCACTCCCACATTGCTCGCTCCATGCCCCATGCAACCTGCACACCCATGCACGCACGCAATCCTGCTTCACGTGCCCCCTCGCCCCATGCAACCCACACACGCACGCCCCATGCAACCCATACATGCACACCTTCAAGAGTCGCCACTTTACTCGCCGCCTCACAACCTGAAACCCACACATGAATGCAACCACCCCCGCTTTTCTTGCCCCCTCACTCCATGCAAACCAAGCACGAACGCATGCAAGCACTCCCACAATACTTGACCCCTTGCCCCGTGCAACCTGCATACGCATGCACGCATTCCCACTTCACGCGCTCCCTCGCCCCGTGCAACCCACACATGCACGAATGCCAGCCCTCCCACTTAACTCGCCCCATCGCCCCTTCAAGCCCCCACACACATGCAATCACCCCCGCTTTACTCGCCCCTTTTACCCCATGTAACCCAAGCACGAATGCATGCACGCACTCCCACAGTACTCGCCCCCTCGCCCCATGCAACACAGACCCGCACGCATGCAAGCACTCCCACTTTACACGTACCCTCACCCCGTGTAGCCTCCACATGCATGCTAGCACCCCCGCTTTACACGCCCCATGCAAACAACGCACGCACGGATGCATGCAAGCATCTCCCGGCCCGTTGTCTAATAGCCGACTGGTGTACAGCAGGCGGTTCAAACCGACCAGTAGCTGTCTCACTACGATTGGTGGACAGCGAGATAAACACGATAAACAATCATGTTTAGCACAATGTGCCTTCCTCTAACAGATGTTGTTTGGTTGATGCCAGATTTAGGTTACAAATCAATGTGGGCTCAAACAAGGCTGCGTACTTTGCCCTCTGATGCTAAGGTACCCAGCATGACTCGGTGATTTAGTGACTTTTCACTCAATGCATTGCTGCCAATATCAATCTGCCTCAAGGCCACTCAATCCACCTCAAACTGCATCAAACGGTTGTGAGCAAACTAAATCAAAACGGCTTCTGGGAGTGCTACTCACCCCATCGCCCCATCCAACTCAGACCCGCACGCATGGAAGCACATTACACGACCCCTCGTTCCGTGCCGCCCACACATACACACGTGTACCCCCACTTTACTCGGCCCCTCGCCCACAGTAGGCCCTACACGCACGCATGCAAGCGCCCCCACTTTACTCGCCGCCTCGCCACCTTCAACCCACACAAACATGCACTCACTCCAGCTTCAAGCGCCCCTCACCCCATGCAACCCACACACTCACGCCTACAAGCGCCCCCACATCACTCGCCAACTCGCCACATGCAACCCACACACGCATGCAGGCAACCCCGCTTTACTTGCCCCCTCACCCGTTGTAGCCCCCGCGCGCATGCAAGCACCCCCGCTTTACTTGCCCCGCAAATTGTGCAAGCTCTACACACACCCTCGCGTCATGCATGAGCACACAGCCCGGGACATGTGCAAAGGAAAGCAAAAAAGGGACGACACCATCCTAAACCCAAACCCCACCCAAACTCTACACCACGCCCCACACAAGTTGCGACGGCCCCCCCCAGGCGTGCCCCGCCATGTCTGTCTGTCTGTCTGTCTGTCTGTTCACAAAAGTGGTGGCAACGACCTCCAGGCGCTAAGCGTTCAGTCCTATCCTCAGCCAGCCAGAGGTCTCCAGTTCGAGCCGGGTAGCGACCTCTTGGCGACTTCCTTGGCACCCTTGGAGATGATGCCTGGGCCTATGGGGATGGTGTTCTGGGAGATCTCGAGTACGACAACACAACACACTGTACGGCAGCAAACTGTACGGCACAGTTGCCATGCTGTGTGGTGACACATCATGTGGTGTACGACATGTACGACTATGTACGACAGCTGTACGGAAGTGTACGACAGCGTACGACAACTGTCGTACGCTTGTACGGCATCTGTACGGCATGGGTTTCGACACGCGCTCCCACCCCCCTCCATGCTCCCCGCTCCCCTCACCACCCCCTCTTCACTCTTGCTCCTCTGACCGCCCCTGAATCACCATGAGGTGTACGGCAACGCAGTACGGCATGGGTTTCGACACGCCCTCCTACCCCCCTCCGTGCTCCTTACTCCCCTCACCGCCCCCTCATCACCCATCATGCCTGGCATCATCAGGATGGTGTCCTGAGGTGTGGTGCCGTACAGCAACGCAGTACGACATTGGTTTTGACATGCTCTTCCACCTCCCTCCATGCTCCCCACTCCATCTCTTTGTTGCAATGTCTTGCATTATGATGTCGACTAAGCTATAACTGAGTTAATGAGCCATTCGCAGTTTCTTGGTTACTTTCCAAAATCAGCGTCAAACTGTTTGGTGACCGTGACCACCCCCCTCCATGCTCCCCACTCCATCCCCTCACCACCCCCTCGTCGCTCTGGCTCCTTTGATCACCCCTGTCGTACAGCGACACGGTACGGCATGGCTTCGGGCACCACATATCACCAATCTTCTTGTTGCAATATCTTGCATTGTGATGTCGACTAAGCTATAACTAAGTTAATGAGCCATTCGCAGTTTCTTGGTTACTTTCCAAAATCAGCGTAAAACTGTTTGGTGACCGTGACCACCCCCCCTCCATACTCCCCACTCCACTCACCACCCCTTCCTCGCTCCAGCTCCTCTGAACACCCCTGTCGTACAGTGACACGGTACGGCATGGGTTCGGGCACCGTGTGTCGCCGGTCTCATTGTTGTGATGTCTTGCATTGTAATGTCGATTAAGCTATAACTGATTTAATGAGCCATTCGCAGTTTCTTGGTTACTTTCAGAAATCGGCGTAAAACTGTTTCGGCGACGGATATGGCTTCGGCAAAAGTAAATCGGCGCAAGTTGCAAGCTGGTTTCGGCAAGAAGCGTGGTTGTGAAGTCGGCGCGTCTCCTGAAAAGCGCCGATTACTGATCGCCGAAAACTATGGTTGATCGGCGATCGCTGATCGGCGAATGCTGTCAGGGGTGGTCGCCGTGAAAGCTTCTTAGATTTCGGCGCAATTAGCCTGGCATCGGCAAAAGTCTTTCGGCGCAATTTGCAAGCTGATTTCGGCGACAAGCACGTTCGTTAAGTCGGCGCATTTCCTGAAAAGCGCCGATTACTGATAGCCGAAAACTATGGTTGATTCGGCGATCACTGACCTGCGGGTCAGGTAAGCGACCCGCGGGTCTATCATGTCATGACTTGGCGTGAACGTTCTCCTTTCTGAAACGTATGGACCGGTCGCCTGGGACTGCTCGGACATGTACGGCCAAGCCTGCCCGGCGAGCAAATTCAGCTTGCACTTCGGGCGGTCGTTTCTTGGTCTGTAGGCTGTCTTTGGCAGCATAGTATATTGGAGTATCAAAACATTAGATCATCAGTATCATTTCGTAAGCAATTCATTGGCGATCACTGATCGGCAAATGCTGTCAAGGGTGGTGGCCGTGAAAGCTTCTTAGGTTTCGGAGACGGACACGGCATCAGCAAAAGTCTTTCGGCGCAATTTGCAAGCTGGTTTCAGCGAGAAGCGTAGTCGTGAAGTCGGTGCGTCTGCTGAAAAGCGCCGATTACTGATCGCCGAAATCAATGGTTCATCGGCGATCACTGATCGGCGAATGCTGTCAGGAGTGGTCGCCGTGAAAGCTTCTTAGGTTTCGGCGACGGACACGGCATCGGCAAAAGCCTTTCGGTGCAATTTGCAATGCTGTCTTTTTAGGTTTCGTCCCCCGTAACGAAGTGGAGCCACATCCCACCGACTTCCTTGCGCCGCTCATCTGCACTGTGATGTCGACTAAACTATAACTGAGTTAATGAGCCATTCGCAGTTTCTTGGTTACTTTACGTAAGAAAGTAATCCTGCCCTTCAGCGAGAGGCGACCTATGCCCCGCGACAGATGCCTTACAACCAATGCTTACAAACAAAACTGGCACGCCAATGTTGGGTCCGCCGACCCCGCCTGTCAGCGAGTGTAGCAAGCTCACAACATTGGTCATTGCACTGACATCAGGTCCACCGACCCTGATCGTCGGCGAGAGGCGACCTATGCCTTACCACAAATGGCTTACGACTAATGCTTTCGAACATGAGCCGCACGCTGACATCAGGTCCGCCGACCATGCTTGTCTGCGACATGAGCAAGCTCACAACACTGGTCGGTGCGCCAACGTTAGGTCCGCCCACCATGCTCGTCGGCAAGAGGAGCAAGCTCGCAGCACTGGTCGGTACGCTGACTTCAGGTCTGCTGACCATGCTCGTACGACCAATGTTTTTTGTTAATGAACATGACTGGTATGCCAACGTCAGCTTCGCCCGCGGTGTGCTCGTCAGTCAGCGACATGATGAGCAAGCTCGCAACACTTGACAGCTCACCGACGTCAGGTACGCAATGTGTGTGCCAAAATCATGCCGGCGCGCATCACCAATCAGGATTTACGGTACCCCCGGCCGCGGCGACCACGACGCGGCGCTATCGGTCGAAATTTTGTCCGTCCGTCTGTCTGTCTGTGCGTCCGCAGAAGTGGTGGCAAGGTCCTTGGGGCGCTAAGCGTTCAGTCCTGTGCCCAGCCAGCCAGAGGTCTCCGGTTCGAGCCAGGTAGCGACCTCTTGGCGACTTCCTGGGCACCCTTGGAGATGATGCCTGGGCCTGTGGGGATGGTGTTGTGAGAGATCTCCAGTACGACAACACACTGTACGGCAGCAGACTGTACGGCAATTGTGCCGTACTGTGTGGCAAGATGTCATGTTTATGACATGTACGACAACTGTACGGCAGCGTACGACAGCTGTCGTACACTTGTACGGCATCTGTACGGCATGTGTTTTGACACGGCCTCCCACCCCCCTCCTCCCCCTCTTCTCCCCTCGTCGCCTATACGTCACCCCGACCCTCCTTGTGACTCCTGGCACCAATCCCCCCCTCGCCACAACAACTGGCAGTACAGTACGGCTTGGGTTTCGACACGCTCTCCCACCTCCCTTCTCCCCCTCTTCTCCCCTCGTCGCCTACACGTCACCCCAACCCTCCTTGTGATTCCTAGCACCATCCCCCCCTCGCCACAACAACTGGCAGTACAGTACAGCTTGGGTTTTGACACGCTCTGCCACCCCCCCTCCATGCTCCCCATTCCCCTCGCCACCCCCTCATCACTCCAGCTCCTCTGGCCATCCCTGCATCAATCCTGTACATCACCATTAGGTATGTTGTCGTACGTACATGCCATAGGACTATACACCGAGTGGACGTCAGTGTGTAAACGCCATAGGACAATGCGTACACGCCATAGGACAATGCGTACACGCCATAGGACAATGCGTACACGCCATAGGACAATGCGTACACGCCATATGACAATGCGTACACAGCTATAGGGGGTGGACGCCTTTCACTGAGCGATGCTGATAAAACGTAAATGACAACGCGTAAACGACATTGTGTAAATGCCATATGACGTACAGTACGGCATGGTGTGACGCCAAAAAAAAACGCCATAGTACAATACGTACATGCCATAGGACAATACGTACACGTCGTAGGACAATGCGTAAATGTCATAAGACAATGCGTATAAGACAATGCGTAAACGACAGTGTGTAAACAACACCGCGTGAACGTTAGGTTGTAAACGCCATAGGACAATGCGTACACGCCATAGGACAATGCGTACACGCCATAGGACAATGCGTACACGCCATAGGACAATGCGTACACGCCATAGGACAATGCGTACACGCCATAGGACAATGCGTAAATGTCATAAGACAATGCGTATAAGACAATGCGTAAACGACAGTGTGTAAACGACACCGCATGGACGTTAGGTTGTAAACGCCATAGGACAATGCGTACACGCCATAGGACAATGCGTACACGCCATAGGACAATGCGTACACGCCATAGGACAATGCGTACACGCAATATAACAATGCGTACACAGCTATAGGGGGTGGACGCCTTTCACTGAGCGATGCTGATAAAACGTAAATGACAACGCGTAAACGACATTGTGTAAATGCCATATGACGTACAGTACGGCATGGTGTGACGCCAAAAAAAACGCCATAGTACAATACGTACATGCCATAGGACTATACGTACACGTCGTAGGACAATGCGTAAATGTCATAAGACAATGCGTATAAGACAATGCGTAAACGACAGTGTGTAAACGACACCGCGTGAACGTTAGGTTGTAAACGCCATAGGACAATGCGTACACGCCATAGGACAATGCGTACACGCCATATAACAATGCGTAGGGCAACTATGCATATGGCGAGAAGGCGTAGGGCGACGATGCGTTGGGCAACGATGCGTAGAGCGACGATCCGTAGGGCCAACAATGCGTAAGAACAATGCGTAGGTAAACACTACACGGTTGTCTGTCTGCGGTATGTAATCTTTTCTGGTGCGATGTTACCACACTATATTGACCCACGGGTCTTTCAGTGTCGTTAACTGCCTGGCTGCTGTCGCCGACCAATTATCTGCGACGGTTTTGAGTGTCATCAATTCTACATCTTCTCTGTAATTGTTGGAGGTCGCCGGTGTGCATCCGGCGTGCTTTTGATGGCCAGACCTGCGGGTCTCTTCGATGCAATCAACTGCTCCCCTTTGGAACCACCTTTTCGGCTTGGTAAAACATTCTGTGTATTGCTTTTATCTTATCGTTACATTCAGTTCGAAATGCGTTAATAGCTTGATTTCGCTAACGAGTGCTTTGCATTCTTCGCCCGCCGGTCTTGTTTCCAATATGCTTCCAAGTAGTATAGCTGTTATGCTGTAGTCCCCTACCTTCTGAGGTACTACATCAATAACCTTCATTAACGTTGTGACGTGGTTAGGACCTTTGCGACCATATTTTCGTGGGCGCGATAGTTGCAGATGAAGCGCACAGAAGAGGGCGCGCAGGATGATCTGGCTGCAACACGGCGACGCGTTGAGAGTAAGCTTTCCGGGTCTAAATTGACTGATAGACGCCTGCTGTTGATTCCAGCAATGGTGCGTTAGATTCTGCTTTGAGCTCGCTGCTACGAATGCGGCCCATTATCGTGGTTTTCGCTTCTCGGTTACTGTTCCACCGTTGCCTTCTCAATCGGTCTTGAAAAATAGGGCCAACGGGAATTGTGACGTCTCGCCCAGGCGGAATAGGAAGCGGCTGGTTGTCTCATCTGAGTGGCGCGCGACGAGCGGGCGATTGTGACAACCCTACCGGTAGGGTACCCCTTCCACCTCCTGATTCGCGTTGCAATCTTCCGTCGCCAACGACAACACGGTCTCGCCGTGTGTCTTACTGCGATTGTGGCGTATTGCAGCGGTGTTCACAGCTGCACCCTTGCCCCCTCTCCACTGTTTCCCCGCCTCCCACATTCTTCTCGCTCGTCTCTGTTTCTCATGTCTCTCCCGTGCTCGTTATCACTCTGCATGAGCTCTAAACCATGCTCTTTCTCCCCCTCAAACCGCTCCCGCTCCCCTCCATTCCCTAATTCTCTGCAGACATTTCAACCTCATTTGTGCGCGGGCCGTCTCCTGCCAGTTCTGGCGGTGGTGACGGCCCGGCTACTGCTACACCTTTGTCTGTGGGTGCAGGTGAGATCTTTACAATTCCCTTTGGACACGCAGGGTTTCCTAACGTTTATGGCCGTGACGATTCCTTGGAAATGAAAGCAAAGTGCTTTTTTGGCCTGCCCTTGATTCCAGGCGCTCCGCTAGGCCGCGGCTTGGAAGCAAGGTAACAGCCTTAGTGAAGAACCCGGCCAATTTCAGAAATTTTTTCTCCGAAACCACCGAAAGTCTAATCCGTTGCTTTCAAGGTGTGCCTTTTCAAACTATTCAATAACATAAAGTTATGAAACTAACAGAGAAATGGATAGGCTAATGGAATACAAAACAAGTCTCCTGTACTTTGGTAACCTGCCCAGAAGCAAACGTTTACGCATACTTGTAGTGCTGACTATGGACATGTCAATATGGCATTTGCACAGAGCAAGAAGCATTGAGTTAATGAGACTAATGTCGTACCTTGCCACCAGCGCACTAGAAGCCGTGTATGCTTTGATTAGTTCAAGACCTTCGTGCCTTAACAACTTGAAAGCCTTCTAGCCTTCCCTTGGTGTTTACCGGTAATCATAGCACCTTTACCTTTCAAGTACTTGTTTGCGCCGACACTTATGGCTTTAAGCATACCAAACAATGGGACGATTGAGTAGAAGTGCACAACAAATAGAGTCGTTGTGTACAGCCGCAGAGGCCATACTTGCGCGCGGCAGTAAACTCAGTGCTAAGGTCTTGTTGAACGAAGTTCGTGGTAACCCACATTGCACTGACTTGACTTATAGATCTGCCAATAACTTTCTACATAGCAACAAAGTTGGGCAGCAGTATATGCGCCCTTCTCCCAACGACAATAGTCTTCCACCAAAGAAGCGATTAAGATGGACTGCTGTTGACGAGGCGGCCTTTCAGGAAGCGGTTGTTACCATCCAGTCGACCAGCAATAAACTGACTGCTAGCAATACTGCAAAGGAGCTGAAAGGCAGTGCAGCTTCATACGACCAACTTCGTTACCGTCTTCGGAAATTGACAGTCGCTAAGCACAACATTGAAGAAACGCCTGATTTGGGTGTTGTTGGCAGCAGGAGTAGAGATGAAGAGTTTGTTAATGGTAAGTTGAACCCACAACAACACATTCGTTAACGTTGTATCAACAGTTTTGTAGCGGTGACAGGAAGTAAACATACTAAACCATGTTCTTGTAGATGAGGGCGAAACTGACAACGAGGACGTGCCAGGAGATGTTGCCCATGACCATGTGCAATCTTCCATGCACTGTTGCATCGAAGCTGCAGAGGAAGCCTGCAAAACAGCCTTTGCCGAAACGTGCTCGTATGCGTGCTGCTGCTGCGACCGCAGACTGTTTAAGCATTCGGTTGTGGAGGTCACGGACAGCTTGTACAACACCCTCTGTGAGCCATGGGCAACAGCCCTGCGGCAAGCGGCTCCAGGTTTCCGAGGACTCGACCTTCACGTGAGTGTGGCACGGGAATATGCTTACCAGCGTGACTCCAGACTTCTGCTAGTTTGTTTCAACAATGCGTGTACCAGCCCCGCTACCATTACTGCTGCCTTGAACCACCCGTTACTCTGCGCTCCCCAAAACCCAACACGCCAGGTGCTCGGTCCACGGCAAGCTCAAGGGTGGCCCCAGCACCTTTAGCAAGTACATCCTCACGGGCTTGGCGCCCGACTGCAGCGTGGATGGCACCTCGTACAGTGTGGAGCTCCACTTCCACGACATGGCCATCCATCGGTTCCTGGGATTCCCGGCTGGCAAGGCCAGCGCGATCAAGATCAGCAGCGACCGCAAGTACGCCAAGCTGGTCCTGACGCCCCTCCTGAGCCTCTCGGATGGCACTCTCATCATCCGGGACGCCACCCTGCGCACGTGAGTCCATGCGGGAAAAGGTGGCAGCTCTCAAAGCCTGCTGACAACCCCTGCTGTGCCCCTGCTAAAAACACGCAATGCCCAGAGTGTGCACCTTAAGTCCTTGCCTAATTCACACACCTAAACGGCGCAGCATTCCAACAACCGCCCTCCCCGCCACCCCACCCACCCCACCCACGGCCAGTTACAACAACCACTCGTACATCTACATCCGTGAGTTCCAAAAGGTCGCGGATGAAGATGCGGGTGACGCCCATGGCAGCCAGCACGCTGCCGCCTCGGAGGAGGCCGCCGCCAGCGATGGCTCCATGGACTGCTCGGACAGCGGCCACCACAGTGGCGCCGTGGACCTGGCAAGCAGTGAGGAGCAGCAGCACACGGCGAGCGGGGACGAGGGTAGTGATGGCGTTGGGGGGGACACGGACGAGGATGTGTCCGATGTAGATGACGAGGAGGACGAGAGGGCCAGCAGCAGCAGCATGGCGGCGTCGGAAGATCCCGTGGAGGACACGGACACTAGTTAGGGAAGCAGTGATGAGGATGGGGATGCAGATGGAAGTGGCTCTGCCTCGGAGGGTGGCGAGGAGGACACTGACGATGACAGCACCTAAATGCATGCACACAACATCCTAGGGCCCGCCTGAGCGGCTGATGGAATGGGTGTTGGGCACATGCAACTAGGCGGGGGTGGTGCTGCGGGTACCGGGCAACTGACAGCTAGGACAAAGGGGGGAAGGGCCCGAACCTGTACCTGTACTGGGAGGGTGGATCACACGCCGTTGGCGAAAGAAATATTGGGGTACAGCTGGGTGGACTTGCAAGTGGTACCTGGTAACGTGTCGCTGGGCAACCGCAGTATTGGTCATGGTAACAAGCGAGAAACGACTGCCGCTGTTCAGCGCGCCGTCATTACACATGCAACGCAGCCCTATCTGTAACTGTACCTAACAGCATGACCGAACCGCTGCAGTCCGACCACACACACTACTATACACAACTATACACAACACATGGGCAGGCCATGAGATCACTTCGGTTTTTTATCATAAGCGTTCTTCTTTTTTCTATTTCCTTCATCACCTCGTTCTCTAACTCTCCTACCTGCCCCCATGTCATCCTTCGCAGGTGCCTCGAGCTCGTGCACGGCTGAGACACCTAGCCCTGGTTCTGGTGGTCGTGGATTAGCACCGTCTCGTCTTCCCGGACTGGGGGGCAACTGGTTGTCCCACTTCAGCGGCACACGGTTGGCCAGCGGGAGTGGCGCCGGTGCATTGTTGCCGGACGCGCAGCGCAAGCGTGCCATGCGCCAGAATGTTTTGCGGCGAATTGAGGAGTTGGCTGCTAACGCCGTACGGATGGCGAACGTACGTGCAACTGACCCGGCCCGGCGACAGGATGAGAGAGCCGTCGATAAGGAACGGCATGCACAGATGCGGGCTACCGATCCCATTTGGCGGCACGATGAGCGAGCCGCCGATCAGGAACGGCATGCACAGATGCGGGCGACTGCCAATCCCGTCCAGCGGGATGAAGTGCGAGCCATCAATCGGGAACGGCATGCACAGATGAGGTCCGCCGATCCTGTTCGCTGTGAAAGGGAGCAAGCTCGAAACATCCAACAGCATGCTGCGGCAAGGGCGCGTCAGCGAGCGCAGCAGGGGCAGCCTTCCAGCGGCAACACAACTCATCGTAGCCATGGTCGTGGGTCGCTCACGGACTCGCTCAGCCGCCTTCTGCAGCTGCCGATGTTGCACGACGGCGCTCCCGTGCACTTGCCGGCATTTTTGACAGCTCCAGAAAACGCCCGTATCCAGGATCAGCATGGCGGCCAGCTACCGGCCGAGTATCAGGTGCCGTACGACGTGCAGCTTCGAGAGGCGGCGTGCATGTCAATGGATGTTGCTCAACGGATGCCTCTGCGAGTATGCGCTGTCTGCAGTGAGCAGTGTTCGGCCTCCCAGTCCTGCCTCTGCGGTTGGGACGAGATCCCCAACGTGGACATTCTCCGTGCGGATATCCCTCCGACGGCGGTGGTTACCAGAATGGGGCACACGCTGACTTGGCGTCGGCTGGCACGCGCTGTGGATGGAGATGCGCCGGCCGCACCTTCTCCGGTGCTTCCTGCTGGGTACCGCTCTGCATCCAGTGGCCCTCGTGGTGGAGGCCATGCCGCGGATGTTACTAACCTTGTCGACACAGATGCAGCAGGGGGGTCAGATGGTGATGTGGAGGAGCAGACGGGACAATCAGAGGCGGCGGATCTTCCTGAGGAGTTGAGGCCACGAGCGCCGCGGCATCACGCGCGGCCTTGTGCAGAGGATCCTACATGTGTTGAGGTGCCATTCTGCATGCGCATCGAGCAACATCCTCCCAATCGGACCGTGACGGTTGATGACACGGGGGAGGAGCTCATAACGGTGTGCTCGGAGTGTTGGAAGGCGCTGGAAAGTAAGTGTTGGTTTTGGTCCTTATTGTGACCGCTAACTGTAGTCAGTTCGATTGCTTTACTATGCACGCCAGCATATCCGTTAATTGAAGTCTGTGGGACTATTATCCGTGGTGGCTGTCGCTAGCTGTTGGCAGTCTCCTGTTTAGGGTCGTACCGTTGAATTCCACCCTATTTTGCAATTGTCGCCCAACAATGCTGCTATCGTTATCCTGGTTGTTGCCACCACCGTCACACCTCATTTTCCGTACCGTCATTACCGCTGTCGTCTTGCTCGCTGTCGTTTAATGTTATGCGTTCTTTTTTTCCTCCCTCTTGCCCTGCAGAGCGAAAGGTACCTGACGCGTCACTTGCCCGTATCGACCCAGGAGACGTTCCTGCAATGAACCATCTTGGGGATCGGCTCCCAACGCCAACGTTCTTGGAGGGCCAGCTGCTGGGACGAGGTCGTGTATCACAGCAACTGATGGTGCTTTACCAGCCAAACCGCCCGCCGGACGTCTGCCCTGTTGTTGTACGGGCACACGGCGTTGCCGTCCTGAACCCGGATCCCGAGTACCTCCGCGCCATGCTACCGATGCGAGCGGAGGCCTTAGCGGATTCCATCACGGTCCTCTGCATCGATGTGGTGCGAGACCGAGCTGAGCTGGAACGGCTCGTGCGTAGTGCCAAAGCGCTGCAGGTTCGGGGTTGGGTGATGGTCGCCTGGGTTCGGTATCTGGAGCACAACGACGCCAACATTGTCATCGACCAGGACGCATTGCAGCAGTACGCAGAGATGGGGATGGAACCGAGGGTCCCTGATGCCTTGGTGGCAGCGGCAACAGCCCCGGCGGATCCCGAGGTGGCGCGTGTGCTGCGAGATACGTTTTTCCATGACCGTACCGGCGCTGCAGCAGTGCGGCAACAGCCAGAACACGAGCTCGGTGCCCGTAACAATGAAGCGGTGCAAGCACTTCCTGCTGGCGGTGCTGGACCCAATTGGACCGCTGGTGTTAGAGCGGTGCGGGCACAGCCGCAGCGTGAACCCACGGCAGGCCGCGGCGGAGATGTGCTGCGGACGTCTCCCACTGGTGGTTCCGGATCCGAGATCCAAACCCTAGCGGACGCCCAGCCACCGGTCTCACGCGCTGCAGCACGGTACTGGGCGTACGACTTCACGTCGCTGGATTCGCTGAAGCAGTGTGTGCTGGCGCATTACCATCAGCTCGGCTGCGAGCCAACGCAGAGCTGGCTTGTCATGCCCCTCCTTGCTGATGCTCTGCTTGATTCAGCAACGGCGTGTGCCGCCTTCCCGTTCGAGCGACCGTGTGGTTGGTCCGAGCTAGTGGCACGCCTACGGGCGGGGTGCCTGACATGCGGGTACACCGCTGCCTGCATCCGTCTTGATGGCACCTGGCACGCCCCAGCACGTCTGCAGGAGCGTGTCATCAACGACGCCCTGGACGTGGCGGTGGCTGGCATTATCCCGGCCATCTCTAACGAGCTTTGCAGCCGCGGTGTATGGCTGGACATCTCGGCGGCATTGCGGGCAACGGAGGCAGTCCAGCTGGGAGGTAAGGAACAATGCAGGTCTAATTACGGCATCATTAGTGGTGCTGTACGCCGCCCTTTTTCGCGTGTTTTTAGGCGTGACACAGGAAACGTTAGTTCGTTCTCCCCTTTTCTTGAAGGCACGCATGCTGAAGCCGTTGGGGACGACATTGAGCCAGGCACGCCTGGACCTCCTACCCGCCAAGGTCAGTAACGATGATACCTTGCTATACGTTTCTTCTTGATCCGGTGAACTGATATTCTTATGCGCAGGTAACCTTCCTGTCGGCGTACCATTTAACGCGGTGATGGCTGCCCAGCAACCAACGGGAGCAACACATGACGGGCCGCCGGGTAAGCTGACCATGTACTCCTGTGCGTGCGTTCTGAACATATTTGGCACGGTGTGTGGACCCGGCATGAAACCAGCTATTGTCCGCTATCAGAAGCTTAACGCCATCGTTTATAACAATTACTATAAACAGCGTCGGTAGAATCGCAAAGAATCCGCCCCCGTTTCGCCGTAGACACACTGTATAGTGTACACGAAGAAGAAAACTGTTTACCATGTACGCATTTTACAATATACGTAACGGCATGATGGGAGCACAACATGAGCGTTCCAACTTCGCTGACCACTCTGGCAGTATCTCAGTGCCACCATCTCACCTTGTCGTACAGTACGGCATGGTGTCACGCCAAAAAACACCATAGGACAATACGTACACGCCATACGATAATACGTCCACGCCACCATAAGACAATGCGTAAACGACAGTAGTGTGTAAACGACAATGCGTAAACGACAATGTGTAAACGCCGTATGACAATACGTACACGCCATAGGACAATGCGTAAACGCCATAGGACAATACGTACAGACCATAGGACAATCCGTAAACGCCATAAAACAATGCGTAAACGACAGTGTGTAAACGCCGTTGGACAATACGTACACGCCATAGGACAATGCGTATACATCATAGGACAATGCATACACGCCATAGGACAATGCGTATACGCCATAAGACAATGCGTACACGACATTAATAAAACGTAACTCATGCTGATTGTCGACGTATTGCGTCGAGTTCGTGTGGATGCAGTATAGTACGTGGATGCATTATTATTGTACATGGACGCATTGTTGTACGTATAGTTGTACGCATTGTTACTGTAATCGTACGCGTTGTTATACGCATTATCGAACGGGTTGTTACCTTGTTCTACGCAATGTTGTGCTACGCACTGTTGCCCTACGCATTGTTACGCTACGCATTGTTACGCTACGCATTGTTTGCTTACGCATTGTCGCCCTACGCATTGTCGCCCTACGCATTGTCCCCTTACGCATTGTCACCCTACGCATTGTTACCCTACGCATTGTCGCCCTACGCATTGTTACCCTACGCATTGTAAGCAATGTTCTACGAATTGTTGCCGTCCGCTTCCAAAGGTGTTCTTCCCCCGCTTGGCCGTATACACGCATTGTAGTGTACGCAAAAAGAAATGGTATACCATATACGTGTTAACAACATTGCCGTACACGCCTTGTTCCATGTACAACATTGTGCATGGCACACGATCTCTTCTCGCAACCTAATTGTACACGTCTACGTATCGTACACATTCCCTCTTTAGACGCTCCGTAGAATCGCAAAGAATCCGCCCCCGTTTCGCCGTAGACACACTGTATAGTGTACACGAAGAAGAAAACTGTTTACCATGTACGCATTTTACAATATACGTAACGGCATGATGGGAGCACAACATGAGCGTTCCAACTTCGCTGACCACTCTGGCAGTATCTCAGTGCCAC